TTTTTGATCTGATTGTTTTTTTTAATGACTTTTGAACATTTTAGAACAGAATTAAAAAAAATAAATAAATCTCTAAATTTGGACTTTTTATCTCATAATTTATAATAAAATGTGATTTTTTTTTGCTCTGATAATTTTTTTATATTTTGGACTTTTGAATTTACAAATGTTGTGTTTTGACTTTATAAACCAAAAAATTAATAAATCATAGACTTTGTTTGATCACATTTTTTTAAACTACATTTTAAAACATCTTTTTATTTATTTTAATATTTTTGAATGGAGCTGTTTTCATCAGAATAATAATTTGGACTTTTAATCACAAAAAGTGACTTTTTAATTCAAACATTTTGAATTTCTTTGCTCTTGTTTAGATCTGATTCTAACATGTTTGAATATATTTTGACTTTTTAATCAAATAGTTGAAACAGGTTTTAACATTATTGTTAGAATTTGAACATTTTAATACCCACACATTTACTATCATTAGTGTTATTATATTCTGACCTGCGTTTTTAAAAGCATGATAACTTTAATCTCTTTTCTTTCATCCAGACTGTACATACACATAAATACCAGACTGCTGCGTTCAGAAGCTGCCCCAGATTCTGTCGGTTTCTAGTTTCCTTCAGTGTCGCAGCCATCAGTGATATTTGTCAGTAAATCTTTGTTTCTCTGCAGACAGAAGCTGTTCTCACACAGTTCTGCTGCTTCATTAAATAACGAATGAACTCCTTCAGACTGATCAACAGCAGCTTCAACATTCAGCAGCTGTTTGACCTCAAAGACAGAATCAGCAGAAACTGCGGTGAACTTCTGAATCAGTGATTATATTAGAAATAAAACCTGCTGTCTGTTATTATTGTTGTTGTTTTATTATTATTACTGTTAAATGTTTACCTTCACAAGCTGCTCAGCCGGCTGCTGTCTGCGGCCGCCGCCATGTTTGTTGTCCTTCTCTTCTTCTACGGTCACATTGATGTCGCGCCGCTCTTCTGCTTCTTCTTCTTCTACGGTCAAATAGGTGCAGTTTGCGCAGAAGCGAAACTTTCACAGTAAAACTTTATTTGTGCCTTAGAGATGTATTTAATTATGTCATTTAATTCTTCTCACGTAGTTTTATCAGATTTAGTCTGACTGAAAATATAAAATGCTGCGTTTAGGACATTTTTATTTGTTTAACTACACAGAGAAACTATACAGTGGCTTAGATTATTTTTTCTGTTTTATATTTCATTTATTTTTGTTTTTTATTTTTTCTGCATATTTTTCTGTATGAATTTATAATTTTGATAGTGTCTTAGTTTATATTATCTTTCTCATAATTTACATGTTTTCTATCAATTTTTTAAAATTTCTTCATAAGAAGTTATCCTCCAAAGTAAAATTCAGCGGCAATATGAATCAGTTTTATTTTAGAAGTCAGTCTAAAAAACATGACTTTTCAGATTTTCACATTCAATTTTGATTTAGTAACTACCTGATCTAAAAAAAAAAAAAAGACATTTTCACAGCTTGAAAACAACTTGTTTAAAATGCCATCATTAATATTTTTATCTAAAAATTTTTTTTTTTTAATTTAATAATCTCAATATGTTTTGCACATATTTCAAAAACATTTTAATATCATAATTTGGATTTATTTAAATCTAAGAATTTTAATATTATGGAACAGATTTTAAAATTTTCTTTCATCCTTAAATCTTTAACTTTCTTAATTATTTTTCTGACATTTTTGCAGACTTTTTGTTTTTAACAAAAATTTTGATTTTATCTGATGATTAAATTCTTTTTCCTTAGATTTTGTGATTTTCACGTCATTTTTTTTCCCTCAAACTTAATTTGTTTTGGGGGGTCACAATTCTAACATTTTTGTTCATATTTTTACATTTTATGTTGCACTTTGAAGTTTTATATGAGTTTTGGATTATTTAAAATCCTATTTTGTATTTTTTTTATGAGAAGTGACTCTCCAAAATAAAAGGCAGCGACCGTGGGAACCGGTTTTATTTTGAAGTCTCGTCAGACGAGGCTCGCGCCGCTCTGGTTGGCGGGCTGCACGCGCGTCCCCTGTGTGCGCTCGCGCTGCTCGGCGGCGGCAGGGCGGGGCTTGTTGAGAGCCGGAGAGAGAGAAGACTCACCAGGAAGATGGCGACCGCAGGGTCCGCCGAGCGGCCTGGCACACCGGCCGGAGCCGCCGCCGGCACGTCCCGGTCCGGAGCGGGGCCCGGAGCCCGGTGCCGCCCCGGGTCCGGCCCGCCCGAGGAGGACGAGCCCAAGAAGTGCGCGGCGTGCGCGGAGACACGAGCCGGCGGCAGCCCGGCCTGCGGACACCCGGCCTGTCCGCTCTGCCTGGCCCGGAGACACTCCGGCGGCGAGGAGCGGCTCCGCAGGAGGAGTGACCCCGAGAGGAGCAGCAGCAGGCCGGGCAGGAGGGACTGCGACAGCCGGAGAGGTCGGTGTGTTTACCGGGTGAACTCCCGCTCACATTCCGCCGGACCAGCACCGCCGCTGGGCGTCTGGCTCTCGGGGCTGCCGCCAGAAAAACAGAACCGGGCAGCGGCGGGTTTTAGCGGGTTTCTGAGCAACTTCACTAAAGTTTAGTTTAGGCCGGAACCGGAGCTGATTAACGGCTGACAGGTAGAACCGAGCCCGAAGCCTCCAGCTGCTCTAGTGGCGGCCACAGGTCCGAGACCGCAGACCGGAGGTCGAGTTAAAATGAATAGAACCGTCCTGGAGGTTCGGGTGAAGCCGCTTTAACAGAACCGAACCAGAATTCTGTTAGATTTGGGTTCAGAAGCGGCACCGTCCTGATGGACCCGTGAAGCTGCTGACTCACGCTTTAGACTCTGATCAATGAAAACAGGTCACGTGACCGTCCAGGGTGATTTACCTGATCAGCTCCATCGATCAGAGGGTGATCACAGCTGATCAGTGGAGCCGCTATGGGGGGTTTCTGATCAGGTCTGCTGATGCTGGACTTGTCTGGACTTGTACAGCAGTAGGAGGAGTTGTGTACTGCAGTACTAGTACTACTACTGGTACTACTGCAGCTCTGAGTGTGTTCTCTGTCCTGATCGTTAAGTTACTCTGATTTTAAGTCCTGCTGTTTGCTTTAGACCAGCTGACAGAACAGTAAGTACAGTTTAATCTGCACTGTTTACCTGCTCATGTCTAATTTTCATGAACATTAACAGAAAATAACATTTGAAACCTAACACTGGAGGTTTGGTGTTGTTTGGACCAGATCACGTGTTGGAGGACGTCGCTGGCTGCTTTCTAATCCATTTAGATGCTTTATGTCCAAAAGATTCGTCATTTTAGTTGTAAGCAGGCTGACTGATGCTGGAGTTGATGGTTAGCTGCAGCCTTAATGGATCCTGATGAGATTTAGTTTGGATAAATCAGCTCTGACTCTGAAATCTACATGAAATATTTTCCATTTAATGCGTTACGTCTCTTGTTTCTGTGTCCCTTCAGAGTTGTTTGTGCCTCCGTCGCTCATCCCAAAGTCTGCAGACGTCTTTTCAAGCCCGACCGGGAAACACAAGGTCAGTCGGAGCGCCGTCGGGTCGGCTGAAGGAACAGAAAACCCAGAAACACAACACAAAGCCCAGTCTGTGTTTCTGTTCAGTCATTGTCTATGTTTGGTTTCTTCTGTAGGTGTTACGGTGTAATTATACCTGATCATTACAATTAGACCTAGTATTGTAGGTTTTGTGTTTCCATGTATTGTCTTAACAAATGAGCCAAACTGGTCGTCACCTCAGAATCTGCGTCTTCAGAACCGCCACAAACTGAATTCTTTCTGTCTGGTTCTTTTTATAGACTCAGTTTCTGACGAGGTCGGCTCCATTTCTGTGTCGTTTGATGCGCTTGAATTAAAATAAATGTGTGATAATGTCTGTTTGTGACCTCAGCTGCCGGCGTCTGAAGACAGAGAAGACACGAAGAGGAAAAACTCCCTGATCTGCAAAGACGAGTCCGGATCTGTCCGCCGTGAAGAAGAACCTGTGAGTCTGACTTTAGCTCGGATGGTACATGATCGGCCTTCGACTCTGAACGTTTTCTAAAATTCACTGTTTTTTTTCTCTTTTTTTTTCAGGGAGTTCTGTCCGACTCTGAGAACGAAGAGCCGATCAGTCGGAGGATCAGAAACATCTCGGCCTTCATCAGGAAAACCAAAAACTCTTCAGCCTTCACCGGGTGAGTAACCGACGCCGGACTGTTAAAGCAGACGGCGAACCGACCAGCGTGACCTCTGACCTCCGTGTTTCTTCTTCAGTGGTAGTCAGAGGAGTCGCAGCTGCACCGACCCGGTGGAGGACCGAGGAGGGAAGCTCAAGGTGGTCGCTCAGCCGGCGGCCATGTTGGACCGGGTACGTTAGTCAGGCCGTCTCTTAAGTGTTTACCTGAGGATTGTGCAGCGAGGCCCCAAACCATTGTTCATATCTACCAACACCAAGTCCCAAACCGGGTTGTAGTTCAGCTGCAGTACCTGGTTGTTCCGCCAGGTGGAGCCGCTCACTGTTTAATCCTGTAGAGACCAGAGGAGGCGTCACTCAGTCTATGGTTCATGTTGGCAGCAGAGAGCATTGTGGGAGTTTAGCTAGCCAGTGTCAACGTGTTTCTGACAACTTTTAAGTCGTTTTAGACAAAAGTTTAGTCATTTTTAAGATGTGTTTTTGTGTGTGTGTGTGTGTGTGTGTTGTTGTTTTTTTGACAATTCAATTAAAAAAAATCTGAACACGTTTTGAGGACTTCAGACTAATTTTGAGTCGTTCTGGAGACGTGTCGACGTTTTAGTCAAGTTTTTGAGTTTAGCTGTAGTACCTGGTTGTTCCACCAGGTGGAGCCTCACTGTTTGCCAAGATGTTGGAAAAACGAATTAGCTCGCAGGTTGTTCAGTTGTTTGATCATGTTGATGGTCATTCGCATAAGTTAGCTCGTAGCTTTGTAGCATACTGAGAGCCCAGCATTTACATTAAGAAAATAAAAATGTCGCCTGTTGTAACCTTGCTCTTGTGTCGTTTCCAGGTTGGTATCAGTCACAGCTTCGCAGCAGGAATCCTTCTTTCCTCGGAGAACAGCCGCTCGCTGTCTGCGCCCATCACCGCCCCCGACCGCCGCCTCACCTGGCGAGCCGTGCTGACGTCGTCGACCCCGCTGGGCCTCCCTCCACCTCGACCCGAACGCTCCATCAGCCCTGAGAGCAACGACAGCATCTCCGAGGAGCTCAACCACTTCAAGCCCATCGTGTGCTCACCGTGCACGCCGCCCAAGCGCCTGCCGGACGGCCGCCTCATGGAGCCCACCATCGTCAAGTCCACGCCGAGGAACCTGACCCGCGGCCTGCAGAAGGCCACCAGCTACGAGGCGAGTCCAGCCGTGCTGCAGAAGTGGAGGCAGATCGAACTGGACCGCCAGAGCCTCAAAGTCAACTCCAAGGCCACGCTGACGAGTCCCGTCTCCGAGCTGCACAGTAAGACCAACGGCGGGGACGACGCCGCCAAGACGCACCCGTCGCCGGCCGGGAACCGGAGGAGGCTGCTATTCGACCCTCCAGATTCAGACGCCTTCCAGAAACAGTCGGTGAAGATCCGAGTTCCTGCGATCCGCTACAGCAGCGACTCGACCTTCAGAGGAAGCTCCGAGTCCTGCACTCCTGAGTCCGGCAGCGGGGGGGCGCTGTTCGGACGCAAGCAGTCGTTCTCGCCGTACACCAAGAACTCTGGTTTCCAGTCGTGTAAACTAGTGCCAAAGGACCAGCAGAGTCCGAGGAAGGAGTCCGACAGTAGCATCCACAACCAGTCTACCTCATGGAGGGGCAAGAAGAGGAAGCAGAAGACCAAACACCTGGACCCGGGCCGCGACTCGGACTTGAAGAGGAGCCGACCCGTCAGCCAGGAGGCCTTCGACGAGCGCTACATCCGGCAGCTGCAGCAGGAGCGGCAGGACCGAGCGCTCGCCCTGAAGCTGCAGAGACAGTTCGACCTGGAGAACCAGAGCGTCGGCCGCCGCCGGAGCCCCGACACGTACTTCCTGCGGTCCTGGATGTCCACGCAGAACCGCAGGAGGCGGGGCCTGAGGAGATCCCGACGGATCAACAAGAAGCACTAGAGAGGAGCCGCCGACGGCTCAGCACAAAGACGGACAGGAGGGAGTTCAAATATGCAAAGTGCCGAAAGGTTTAATGAACGTATGAATGTTGCTCAGCTGCTGCTGAGAAAATCCTGGAGACGACGTTTGTTCCAAACACCAGCAAATCACCAAAAACTCGCTCACCGAACATCGAGTCACTCATCGGCCGACGCACGGACAGATTTTATTTAAACTGACGGAGTCGCAGCGAAACGAACCCAAACATCCGTCAGCTTCCAGAACAGTCTGATCGATCAGTGAACCAGAGATTATCAATCGGTCGACCCTCTGAACTCTGAGCAGCTTGTTTTTTACTCACCGAGGCTCATTGTTCATAAAGTCCTGCAGCTCTTTGGAACCAGAACAACACGGAGACTCAGAACTCTGGTGTGTTCTGCAAAAAGACAAAACAGATAAATTTCTTCTTTCTAATTTGTTGACGTGTAACCAAGATGTCTTCAAGTCTCACCAGGAGTCTCCAACATCGGATGAAGACGGCGACGCTACACGTTCTAGATGTTGAACTGTTTAATGCTTCCATCCTGCTCCGTGGAAACGCTTCACTTCATTCCTCACGTGAGCCACTGAGTCGCGCCAAAAACAAATTGGTTTGTGTTTTTACAGAATCGGATCAAATTTTAAACGAGACGTGTAGAAATAAGATTCTGAGCTCAGGTTTGGTTGATTTTCCAAACTGGACCTCCACCGGTTCTGTGCAGTAGCGCCACCTTGCTGCTGCTCTTCAAACCTGCCGGCAGGTTTTAGGGTTCAGAGGGTTAAAAAAAACACACAAGTTTCTGCTCAAAGAAAACCACATGTGAGGAGCTGGAAGCAGAGAATTAAACGATCGATGAGTTCTGCTAGGTGCCGTCAGAACCGACCCGACCCTCTGGTGGTCGGTCGTCAGCTGATGGTTAAAACTCACACAATCTGCTGTTTTTATTTAAGACGGAAACCTAAACGTCGATAAGTTTGATCCTGAACGCTGCGGCTTCATCATCGCCCGCTTCATCCCGAGCTTCAAGTGTTTGGACCAGCGGGAGGGAACGGAACCGGTCGGGTTCCGCTGAGCTTTCCTGCATCTGAGAACTTCTCTGTAGCCGACGGTCTTCCTGCCCCGTTGAGTTCGGAGCCGCCGAGGATTATGGGTACCGATTGGTCGGGAAGGCGGATCTGGAGACGCTGTGGTTTGATTGGACGAGCTTCACGGTGACAAACCAACAAAATGCAGTTTTTAGATAAAGTGGAAGGTCGGACTGAGACGAGGACGAGTCGGTCAGTGTTAGACTTTAATGTTTTTCATTTCCAAGCCGTATTCACATGGTCCAGCCGACCCTCTGGACTCCACGCTGCTCTTCTGGGTCTTTGTTTTTGCTCCTGTTTCTTTTTTCCTCACTGTGGCTCATGTTTCACTGCAGCATCTCTCCTCATGTACCCGTATCTATGGAAACAGTTAGAACGACAGAAACCATGAGACGCTCACACCTGACAGGTACGACGGAGCAGCTTTGGATCATGAAGATGTTTTTGGCATTTTGGGCAACATTTTAGGAAATCTTTACGGGTTTAAAGCTAATCTGGACCATATATGAGTTGTTTTGGCCGGTCTTTGAGTCCTTGTGGACTTTTTTTTTGGAGTAACTGGACTAGTTTCGAGTTATTAGTTAGTTTCGAATCATTTTGGCCAAATTTTGAGTAACATTTGCCAGATTTTGAGTCCTGTTAGAGCATCGTTTTGGCATTTTGGGCAATATTTTGGTAAATCTGGATAAGTTTAACGCTAATTTGGACCATTTTTGAGTTATTTTTGGACAATTTTGGCATTTTGCGCAATATTTTAATAAATCTGGACGGATTTAAAGCTAATTTGGTCCATATATGAGTTGTTTTGGCCGATTTTGGAGTCCTTGTGGACATTTTTTTTTTTTTTGAGTACCTGGGCAAGTTTCAAGTTATTGTGAAGCAGTTTCAAATTTTAATAAATCTGGACGGATTTAAAGCTAATTTGGTCCATATATGAGTTGTTTTGGCCGATTTTGGAGTCCTTGTGGACTTTTTTTTTTTTTTTTAGTACCTGGGCAAGTTTCAAGTTATTGTGAAGCAGTTTCAAATCATTTTGGCCCAATTTTGAGTCATTTTTGACATTTTTAAAGTCTTTGTACTAGTTTTTGCATTTTAAAAACATCTCTGCAGGTGTTTTTTTTTGTCATTTTGGACAGAGTTTCAGCAACAAACACTAAAAATGACAGAAATGACAAAAGAATTTCGCAAAAATCCAAATAGAAGCAGGACTCAGTGTTTTTCTAAGTGACCACAGGTGTTCCCGACATTGAAATGAAGTCTACACACTACATGAATTCTGTTATTTGTGTTTTAATTTCTCTCCATCGTCCTCTCTGCTCTGTTGAGACGCCGCCTGCTGCCGTTCAGCCGAATGCTTCCGTTTCTATGATGTTGTTTTTTTAAAGAAGCTCTCCTTTGTTGCAGATGTCGGGGTTCAGAGGGTTAAATCTGTGTTCACACAAACCACAACCCAGTGAGTTCACAAACAGCAGAACTTCAACTCAGACGTAAGGAAATCAAATTAAATCAACGAGCTGAAATCGTCGAGTCCTGATCAGTGAAGCTTCTTGTTGTTGTGATCTTGTGATCCGTTTCATGTCATGACATCAAACCGATCCGTTTTTCTTTCTCCTGTGTGGCAGCGACACAAAACAATAACTCTTGAATGTTTCCTCTAAAACCCAAAGACGTTCAGCTCATGTGGCAGAAACTTAAACTCTGATCAAGTTGAAACGTTCCTGCTGGATCTGATCTTGTTTTCTGAATCTCTGCTGCTGCCTCCGGTGTGAATACGGCTTCTGTCCTTTACATTCCTGCTTCCTGAATGATTTCTGATTGTGAACCTGCGGCTGGTTTCCTCTCAGCCGCCGGCGAGCGACGGAGCCGAAGGGCTTTTGTTTCCTGATTATCAGAGCTTTACTCTCTCCGACACTGATATGCACATTTCTCTGAAGTCGTACTAAAAAGCTTTCGTCCTCCAGTCCGACGGCAGAGCGCTCGAGTGCCAAATGACGGACGGTTGTTCATAGTTTATAATTCTGTAGTTTTGTATGCGCGGCTGCTGGAAGAGAAACTAAAAGACTTCAAACACTTGGTCTCCTGTCGTCTGTTCGCCGTCGTTGGTCTGATTTTTTTATTCCTTAACAGGCAGCGAAGAACAAGATGGAGCAACGAGTCGCATCCTGAAGCAGCCGAGGAGAGACTAAACCCTGAGAGTCGCCTGTCAGGCTTCATACCTGCAGACAGAACTCAGGGCAGAAAGAGAGTCAAGATGTTTCCATGATGAAGACTTTTAATTATAGTTTTACTTTCAAGATATTTGGTTCTTAATTGAATTTTTTATTTCTTTATTTAGTCTTTTTTTGTGCCTTTAATCTTATTTTGTAGTTGATTTTTTTAAAAACCTTTATTTAGTTTATTTTATATGTATTTGACTTTATTTTAAATGTTTATATTTTTATAGTTTTGTTTTTGTTTATACTTCTTTATTTAGTATTTTATTTCCATGCTTTGTGTTTGCTTCAAAGTTTTTCCACAATTATTTTTGATTTCTTTTTTTTTTTGGAAAATATTTTATTCATTTTTTTTGTTTCTTTTTAAATGTTTTTTATTTTATGTGTATTATTTATTTTTATATGTTCTTTAATTCCATGTAATTTAAACTTTTTTAAACTTGTGCTTTAATTTGCATACCATATTTCTTGACTTGATTTTAAATATTTATATTTTTACGTACATTTAATTTTATATTTTCTATAATTTCTTAATGGTGGACTTCATTATATTGTGTTTTGTTTATTTTCTTTACATTTTATGTGTTGATTTTCTTGTTTAATTTTTTTATGTTGTTTTCTATATTTCTGTTTGATTTTAAATATTTGTACGTCTCATATCGACTGAGTGCTTTATAGTTTATTTTGTACTTTATTGTCATCGTTTCTATAATATGTGCTGATAGATTTTTTTTAATTCATTTTATTTCATTTTTTAAAATACATTTTGGAAACAGTTTTAAAAAAAAGAAATTTAGTTCTTTAATTTTTTATATTTCTATATTTTGTTTGTATTTTTCTTATTTGAACTTTATTTTTTTATGTTATTTCTTGACTAAAATTCAAATATTTATATTTTAATTACATATCTATTATTATTATTATTATTATTATTATTATTATTATTATTATTTACATCTAGTTTTCTCATTTGGTGTTGTTTTTCTCGTGAACGCGCACGCTGCGGTCGCCGTTTAAATTTTGCTGTGAGCCAATCAGCGGCCTCCAGGTCACAGGTGCCGTATTTGTAGCGGAAGCGAAGATGGCTGCTGCGAGGAACGGGAAGAGCGGGCTGCTGGAGAAAGTAAGAATCAACGTTTAATGACTTCTGGAGACTTTAAATCAAACGCGGAGGTTTTAGTTTATCTTTTTACACCAGACTGAAGCTTCACGGGCTTCAGTTCTCTGTGTGGGCGGAGATTTGATACCCGCATCCGGCCCGCGGTTAGCGGCTAAGCTAAGCTAATGCTAACCGGCTGAACTCGATTCACTGTGATTTAAAACGAAACTTAAAAACAGAGTTGATAATTAGTGAAGCTTTGAGTTTGTTCCTGCAGAAATAATCAGTCGGTCTGAGTTAAACTGCGGCGCTTTGCTCGTTTCTCTGCTAGCAGCTGTTCCGCTCCAGCAGCTGCACCAGACTCCATCCAGAAAACGGCTCATTTTACTGTATTTACGTGTTAAAGCTGCACCGTTGGATCAGATTAATGTGATTAAAGTTACCGTTAGCGCTTCTGATCAGTTCAGTTTTTACAGGTACAGGATCGAGTTGGAGTAAAAACGCGTCGGAGCAGGAAGCTTTAGTCGGTTTTTACGTTTTCTTTACTGAAACGTGGCAACATCCGCACGTTCAGAAGTCCGGTTCAGGTTCGGTTCATTTTAGGTTTTAAACATTAGTGATGCTCAGAGTTGATCTTCTGGAAGAACTGATCATAACAAACATAAACAGACAGATTTTAGAGGGATGCGGCCTTTAAAACTAAAATAGATCTGTTGATTTATTCTATCTGTGCTTTAACTCTTTTTTTTTTTTTATAAAGTTTTTTAATTTTAGATTCATTCTAATGTTTTTTATTTATTATCTTTATTATTTAACTGACTTGGATTTTTATTAGGATTTTATATTTTTGTTTGGTGTTTTATATTTCATGATTTTTTTTCTACAGATATATTTTCTAATCTACTCTAATATTATATTTTCTACTTTATTTTCATGATGTTTACTTTATAACTTCTTTTAAATTAATTTCATTCTGTATTTTATCCTTTAATATAACATTTTCAGAGGTGATTCTCATGTTCGTCTCGTTTATGTCGGTGGTTGTTTTAATTAATTAGAGCTGCAATCGAAGTAGTTTATTAATCAGCTGTTAAATGAATCTCTGGCGTTTAAACATAAAACATCAAAACATCTTTAAACGTCTTCCATCGTAGCAGATGTTTAGACAGTTTTAAAAAGAAAAAAACACAAATATTCTGATCTGAGAGGCTGAAATTAAAAATATTTTGAAATTTATTGAAAATTTAGTTTAAAATCTGAAACCGTTGATGTGTTTTGTAAATCGTCATCGTTGTTACGTTTGCAAAGTTTTTATCACTTTTACGTTCATGTGACTAAATTAACTTTTTGTTTTGAGTTTTTATTTATTTTTTTAATAATAATATTTTTATGTGAATATCTTCTGGTTTCTTTTCTCTTGTGGACAAATCGTTAAAACTCACCGCCCGTCATTTTTCAACAGTTCAGCCTGAAACCGATCAGCAGAAGTATTGATCCTGATCGGTGTTTGTTTGTTTGTTTCAGTGGAGGATCGATGAGAAGCCGGTGAAGATCGATAAATGGGACGGAGCCGCCGTGAAGAACTCTCTGGACGACGCCGCCAAGAAGGTTTTAACGTTAACGATGATGGTTTTAATTGACTGAGTTGATTCTGATCAGCAGAGAAAACAAAGACGCTCGAGCAGATTCAGTTTTATTAAAGGATTCTTAAGCGGTTTGAAGTTAAATATAAAACATCTCAGTTAAATTCTCCTCATTGTTTGAGTTCAGTGTGATCTGAGAATGTTGATTAATTATTTAGTTGTTTGTTTTCTTGATAAAATGTCAGAAAAGAATAAAAAACACACCAAAGTGTTCACGTTACAGGTTAAAAAAAGCCTAAAACCTTCACATTTCAGACTGAAACGATGAGAAGTTATTGTGATTATCACCAACGTGTCATAGATTTATCTGTTGTGTTTTTTTTAGTGGTTACCGTAGCTACAGTTTGTCCATCAGCTGTTATGATAATCAGGACACTTCTATAGTAAATAACTCCTAACCAGGAGGAGAACATCACTGGTTTATTTACTGTGTTTATAATTACTGATGAGGTGTGAAGACAGAGAAAGTCAGGACATGAAGAGATGGAAGAAAATCTGAATAAGAATCCGTTTTTGTTCTTTAAATTTTCACTTCCTGGATGTTTAGATGTATTTTTATCAGAGGAGCTGATCTCAACGTGTCTGTAGGCGACTGTGTTTGTTGTTTTCTTGTCGGATCTTTTGTGTGTTTTAGAAGTTTTGTTCCTCTTCAGTAACCGTGTGCCGTTGTGCTGCTGCGCCCCCTTCAGGTGCTGCTGGAGAAGTACGGCTACGTGGAGAACTTCCAGCTGGTGGACGGCCGGCTGCTCATCTGCACCGTGTCCTGCCTGTTCGCCATGCTGGCGCTGGTCTGGGACTACCTGCACCCGTTTCCCGAGTCCAGACCGGTTCTGGCCTGCTGCGTCATCTCATATCCTCCAGCTGCTCGACTGGCCCGAGGGTCACCTGCTCACGTCTCACCTGAGTTTAGCTCAACATCGCACCAGTTTGTTTACTTGGTGTGGAAGGAAATTAAAGGAACGTCTCGTATCTGTGATGCAGTTAAATATCTGACAGAGAACAACATAGTGTAGTATTAAATATCATTAAAATCTTGAGCAAAATACCTAAAACTGTGTTTTAAAATTATGGAAATTAACAAAAATATTTTTATACGATTTATCAAAAATCTGACAAAGAACAACATAAGATTAAATATCTAAAAAATACATATATTAAATAAATAAATTAGCAAAAAATATTTCATACAATGTCTTAAACAATTTTAAATATATAAAACAAAATTCTTTGTTCAGTAGCTTCAGGATATTTTTTTCTTTAAATCACTAAAATATTTTTAAGTGTTTCCAAAAACATAATTTCTAGATTAATAGAAAAATATCTTCAAAAATGTTGTAAAATCTCTTAAAGCTAAATTTAAAATATATGATTATATAAATATAATAAAATTGACAGTCAGGTCCCAAAAAGTGTCGATAAAATATCCCCCAAAATTGTAGTTAAACTCCCAAATACACGTAAAATCTCTCAAAAATATCTGTAAAAATATTAAATTTAATGTAAAAATTAATCAGAAAAACCTCCAAAGAAATCCTGTAAATATCAGAACATTTTTGTAAAACTCGAAATATTAATCAGATGTGACAAAAAAAATTGTAAATTAACAGAAAAACATCAATAAAATTTCGTGTATTTGTCTCGTATGTTTGGATGTAAACTTTTTAGCTTCTGCATTTTTTTCCTCGTCAGACGAATGAATCATATAAAAACATGAAACTCATCTTCCTGAATGTCGAAGCCTTGAATGTGCAGCAGATGTAGGCTTTGTAAAGCTGTTGTTTGTTTGTTTGTTTGTTTATTTGCTCCTTGACCGATCTTCATCACGTACTTCATCATGATGGGCATCCTGACGCTCTACACGTCCTACAAGGAGAAGAACATCTTCCTGGTGGCGCTGCAGAAGGACCCGGCCGGGATGGACCCGGACCACGTCTGGCAGCTTTCTTCGTCCCTCAAACGGTCCGTCACAGGCAGAGCCAGATGTTTCTAACCTCAAACTCAACAGATTCCTCAGATTTAACTTCCGTTTGTCTGCAGGGAAGTAAATTCATGAGCTGTTAAGTTTTACTGTGTGAACGATCAAACGACTCAAAAACCATCAAATCACTGATTTTAATTCACTTATTCTCGACATTAATTTATTCATGATTTGGCTGAAAAAAAGTTAAAATATTCCTTAAATGTCAAACAAAAAAAATCAATCAACGTAAAATATTCAATAAAACCTCTGAAATATATTCAAAATATCCAACAAGACATTTCTACATTAAAGATTAATAACGTCTCTTAAATATCCCAAAGAATAGATGCTGCAGATGAAGCCTGAATAACTTCACATGTGAAGAGCAGACATGATGTTGTTGATGTTGTTGTTGATGTTGATGTTGACGTTGACGATGTTGCTGTTGTTGTCCAGGTTCGACGACCAGTACACCCTCAGAGTCTCCTTCACCGACGGCAAGTCGAGGAACACGAGGGAGGCCGAGTTCACCAAGTCGGTGTCGGCGTTCTTCGACGAGAACGGGACTCTGGTGATGGACCAGTTTGAGAAGAGCGTCTCCAAACTGCACGACACTCTGGCCACGGACAAGAAAACCAAATAAAGAACCGGCCGGAGGCTCGACGGCATCGGTTCGGTTCAGACTCTGACGGAGTTCCTTCGTTTCGGTCGGTTCGTTGGTTTCAGTTCGATCCGGCGAGCGGTCGGTTGTTTTCGTTAAGCTTCACGGTAAATCTTTAATTTCGACTAATGACACAAAGTTTAGGCAACTTTCAGAACAAATGATCTGTGACATCATCAATCAGTGACGCATGACCAGATGACAGGGTTTGATAAGCAGATGTTGTTCTACAGGCTCACACAGATGTTTGTGTACAGAAGCTGTTTTTATATACGTTGTTCAGACATTATTAACCGTCCCAGAAGTCTTTGTCATGGTCCTGTTGCTGCTAAACTCCCACAATGCTCTCTGCTGCCACCATGAGCTGTAGTCTGAGTGACGCCTCCTCTGGTCTCTACAGGATTAAACAGTGAGAGGCTCCACCTGGTGGAACAAGCAGGTACTGCAACACATTTACTGACATGCATGAGCTTCCTCTCGTCTTAGCGGTTGATGTATTTTCAGTTGGTTAAATAATTAACAGCAGTAAATTATATGACTAACTAAACGGTTAATCAGCTGTCTCTGTGGTGGAAACAAACTTTGCGTAAACTGTACAGAAAGTTAGTTTCAGAATCAAAACGCTCTTCAAATGAACCGACTCGACTGAACTGAAACCAGCGAACCGCCTGAAAGGAAGGAAGTCCGTCGTAGTTTTCACAGCAGGTTAGAAACGGTTCCATAGAACTAACGCCATCCATTTATCTGTTCTGACCGCGTGTTCACAACCATCCAACACTTCTACTCTCCAGGTTCTCCTCATTCCTACAGCCGCAGTTTTGTATTTTTTGACGACCAGTTTGTACATTCGGTGAAAGACGGGAACTGGAGGGACGTTCAGCAGCTTGTTGGATCGTTTTAAACGGTTTGAGACGAGCCGGATTCACAGGACGTCGTCGGTGTTTTCAGTTCTCATGACGTCTCTGCAGGTCAAAGCATCATTTCAGCTCAAAGTTTTTAAAAATGTGACGATTATCTCATCTGAAAACTGTCCTTCGGTGACGCCCCCGCCGTCTAATTGGTAGAAAACTTTGCTAACGTTCGGGCGTGTCACGGGTGGGCGGAGCCACCTGAAAGGTCACTCAGGTGAGAAGTGAGCGGCTGTCGTCGGGGAAACGGCAGCTGACGGTGGCGGGAACATAATTTAATTTTGTCGCAGGAACATTTGTGCATTCAGCGAGTCGCTCGATGTTTCTGAGCTCGTCTCGTTAGCGGCTTTAGCGTTCGTCAGCAATGCAAAAAGACCTGCCGGATGCTAACGTGCTAGCGGTTAGCTCAGACGTCGGCGCCTCCTCCAGACGGACGTTTGGACGCCTCGCAGCAGGACGAGGACTGAATGTGGACAGTTTGTTGTTTTCTCGGAGCCTTATTGTGTAACTCTGTCGGTGAAACATTAAAGATGGACGCCGCTAACGAACTCTGAGTCCGTCTGTGAAACTGGAGCGTGAATGTTGGTCTTTGTGTGGCGCTGATAAGGTGTCCCGTTGGAGAGTTGAACAAAGAGATTCAGTGACGACAAAATGACACGAATGAAAACTTAAGACGCTCACGATGACAAGATGGAGACACAAAATGACGACAAAGAGATGAAACGTGACCATACGTGGTTGTTTAATAATCACATAGAGACACAAAACGAACTCATTGACACACAAAATAATTCAAGGACTGATGCAAAATGATCACAAGTTGAAAAATTGGTGCAAAAATTATCACAAAATGACCCCAAAGACCCACAAAAGTATTCAAAGGATGCAAAAAAATTATTACAGACGCACAAACTGACAACAGTGATAAAAAATGAGCAAAATATTGAAGCAAAACAGCCACGAGGACGCACAAAATTATCATAGACGCACAATTTTGATACACAAAATGGTTCTAAATCATCGCAAAATAACTGCAGAGACCCACAAAATTATTATAAATACACAAAATTATTATAAATACACAAAATTATTATAAACACACAAAATTATTATAAATACACACAAAATGATGACAAAGACTCACAAAGTGACAACAGTGACGCAGAACCAATAGGAAGTGACTCAGAACTGCAACAGACGCTTTATTTTCTGGTTGTGTTTCGGTTCGGGGTGATTCTGAGCTGGTTGTGTGTCTGTTGTGTAGCTCCACGGGTCGTCCAGCAGGTGGCGTGTTTGTTCTACTGCTGCTCATTAATGTTGTTTATAACGATCACTGAAATCTGCTGCTCTGATTTCAAATCAGAACCAGCTGAAATAATGAGTGATTTCACAATAAAAGCCCTCATAAAGACACAAGGTGAGAATGTTTCCAAAATAAAAGTCCTGGACTGAACGGGAGCAGCTACTTGAACTTCACATGATGTCTACAGGTACAGATACTTTTACTCTGTAAGAACTGAACTCGTAATAGAGTATTTTTACTTGTAGGAACTTGTAATAGAGTACTTTTACTTCGTAGTACTTGTACTTTTGTTGATGTAACGAATCTTTAAGCTTATGTTTAAAACTGATACGATGCTGGAACGTTTAGTTTCTCCTGATTGTTTTAAAGTTCTCTGCAGAACCTTTCACAATAAGAGTCAGAGACCAGAGGGGGCGGAGCCAAGCTGCTGCTGCTGATGAGTCGTGGCTGAAGCTGCGCTGTGATTGGCCGACGGTCTGAGACGTTTAAAACAATGAAACTTTCAGATCAACAACTTTTATTGTGACGAAGTCTGAAGCTGCAGGTGACTCACCTGGACGGACCGAGATCGCCGCCAGGCGGGTCTGACACCAGCAGAACCAAGCCTCAGCTGTTTACCCAACAGTGTACAGATACAGGTGTGTCCAGGTGTGTGTTTTTATATTCAGGTGTGTGTGTGTTGTGTGTGTCCAGGTGTGTGTTTTTATATTCAGGTGTGTGTGTGTTGTGTGTGTCCAGGTGTGTGTTTTTATATTCAGGTGTGTGTGTGTTGTGTGTGTCCAGGTGAGTGTTGAGGTGTGTGTGTGTGTGTTGTGTGTTAATCTGCTGCTGTCAGCACTCAGACTGCTGAGTCGTCCTCGGAGCAGATTATCAGCTCAGCAGAGACTCGTCCTGCTGATCAATGTGATGTAACAACAACCCCATCAACACTGAAATCAATATATAATATTAATATAATATAATTAATTTAATATAATATCATTAATTTAATATAATTAATATAATGTTGATGTTTAGGAGAAGCCTCAAACTGAATGACTTGTAAATCTTTCTTTCTCTTTAATTTAAAGCTGCTAGAATTCAGAAACAGTGAAAATATAAAATGAAACTATTTTAAATTAACACATAAAAGATCAGTTTGGAACGAATGAAAGACGTTTTTATAATAAAGTGAATCAATCAGCCGACACACAAACATAAAACAGGTTTTAGTTGTTTTTCTGTTTGTGTTTCAGATTTAACAGACGTCAGACTGAGGTTCAGATTCACGTCTTTATCAGGATTTATACGTTTCACTGCTCAGACTTTGTGAATCCTGACTGTGGAGGTTTATTCATGAAAACAAAATGATAAAGGGGATGCAGGACTATCACGACGACACACAATGATCACAAAGGGATGCAAAATGACAACAATGGGATGTAAAATGATCACAAATAGATGCAAAATTACAACAAAATGACGAAAGTGATGCAAAATGACCACAAATGGATAGAAAATGACGACAACAAAATGCAAAATTACAATAAAATTACCAAAAGGGGATCCAAAATGGACACAAAACGACCACAAATAGATACAAAATAATGAAAAAATGACAACAGTGACAAGAAGTGACGATAAAATTGCCCAAAACAGGATGTAAAAGGTTCACAACAATAACAAAAGGGAAGCAAAATTACCCCCAAAGAGACAAATGAACCACAACGGGATGCAAAATAACAACAGTTATCATAAAATGACAAAAAAGTGATGCAAAATGATCACAAAAAGACAAAAGTGACACAAAATAACCGCAAATAGTTACAAAACAACAACAGTGACACAAAAATTATGACAAAGAGATTAAAGTGGCCACAAAGGGATGCAAAATGTCAACAAAATCACCCAAAAAGGGGCTAAAAGGATCACAAAATAATAGAAAATAACCATAAGGGGATGCAAAATGACAACAGGGAGATACAAAATTAAAATGAAATGCACAAAAGTGTTGCAAAATCCGAAAAAGACAAAAGGGACACAAAATTATACCACAAATGGTCACACGGGGGTGGAAGATGATGACAGCAAAATGCAAAATTACAATAAAGTTACTGTAAAAGGTTTGCAACGGGGACACAGAGGGATGCAAAATGACAAGAGTGTCACAAAATGAGCACAACAGGACACATGATAGCAAAACAAGGGACGCCAAATGGTCACTAAGTGACTTCAAATGACTGCCGGAGCTCAGACTTGCAGCTCCTCTTGTTTGTTTGGTGTTTATGAGACGGTTTCTGTCACCAGTGATTCAGAATGATGAAGAATATTCTGCTCAGACGCCGTCGTCCTCATTAGCAGCAGCAGCAGGATTACGCTCCTGTAATGATCAGCCTGCTGACCAGGCTGAGCGGCTGCAGATTATAAATGCAGCTGCTTGAAGCCACGAGCTGCTAGAAACCCGCCGAGACTCTTCATCATCATCATCATCGTCATCGTCGTCGCTGCTGCTGCTTCAGGTCAGTCTGGTTCCTGCTGATGTTTGATCAGAAACTATGTTTTATTGGTTGATCAGTTTCACTTCATCGCTGAGTTTAAAGCTCTGAAGTTTGTTGAATCTGGTGATTAGCTGCTAACGAAGCCGTCAGCTGGACACGGATCAGTACTCAGAAGGAACCGAGTCGAACTGAACTCTGCCTCAGGTTCTGGTTGTTTTGTCTGTTTGTCTTCACTGTGGTTCAACTGTCGCTGCAACATGAAGAAACAGAACTCAGACGTCTTCATGACAGAAAGTCGTCGTAGATGTTCTACCAGAAACGTTCTGATCAAGGTTTTGCTCTTTAATCAATCTGAGAAATTTAATATTTAGTTTGCCAATTTAATTTTTAAAAAGTAGTTTAAAAAGCTTTCCTTGAATATCTCGAGTCCCATGTTGTTGTAAAGCTTCAGTCGGACGCTTTCTGAAATGACGTAAATGTACCATAGAGCAGCTGTAGTACCTGCTTGTTCCACCAGGTGGAGCCTCTCACTGTTTAATCCTGTAGAGACCAGAGGAGGCGTCACTCAGACGACAGCTCATGGTGGCAGCAGAGAGCATTGTGGGAGTTTAGCTGGTAAAGGGGTACCATGACAGAGACTCTGAGGAGGTTCAGGACCTCTGTGGACCAGAACTCATGTGTTCAGTACAAACTGGAATTAATTAGAACGTTTGCTTTTAGTTGTCAGTTTTGATTATTGAATGAGAACGTTGCAGGTTTATGGAAAACAAATGAAAACGAAGCATCATCTGTAGTTTTCTGTTACTAATTAGGTTTATTAAAGGTCGTCTAGAAACGTGATGGATCCAGTTTGAAGCTTCTCGTCTCTTTTCAACATTTATCAGCCAGAAACCGTAAAAACAAAACAGAGTCTTTGGATGTTCAACTGTCTGATGAAACCTTGTGTCTGGAAGATTGACCAGAATCAACCTTAAAAGCATCTCGTCAAACTTTGCATGAAACAGATTCAGTTTCAGACACTTTCTCCTGCTGCTCACATCTCAGACGCTCAGAGGAACGTTGGATGTTTAGGTTGTTGTACAGTTAGTTGTTTGAGTTCTGTTTCCTGGTTTCTGTATTTATGACTTCATAACTGAACAACATTCATCAAAACTGACTCAAGATGGTCCAAAATAACTTGAACTAGTCCACGTTCATTCACAAGAACTGAGCTGCAGGACTTTGTGTTGCAGAGAAACTGAACCACAGTGAAGAAAAAAGTTTATTAATCAGGACGAAGAGTCAAAGTGATCAGTTCAGCAGATTTTAAACTGAACTGTTTTCATCTGCAGGTGAAGATTCGTCATCATGAGTCCCAAACACGTCGTCTTCAAGAAGGTTTCCAGAGACAAATCAGTGAGTCGCTGCTGATTGTATACCCACAGGGACACAAGTAACCGAGTACTGACGGAGTAACCAAGTACTAACGGGAGTAACTGAGTACTGACGGAGTACTGACGGGAGTAACGAGTACTGACGGGAGTAACTGAGTACTGACAAGAGTAACCAAGTACTAACGGGAGTAACCGACTACTGACGAGAATAGCTGAGTACTGACGGAGTACTGACGGGAGTAACGAGTACTGATGGGAGTAACTGAGTACTGACAAGAGTAACCAAGTACTGACGGGAGTAACCGAGGACTGACGAGAATAACTGAGTACTGACAGGAGTACCTGGATACTGATGGGAGTAACTGAGTACTGACAGAAGTAACAATAGTAGTAACAGTTGTAACAGTATTAGTATTAGTACTAACAGTTCTAGCAGTAGTACTGTGTGTACTTTAGGTGGTGGTAGTACCAGTAGTAGTACCAGTAGTGGTACCACTAGTACTAACAGCAGTACTGTGTGTACTCCAGGTGGCCGTCTACATGGCGAAGAGGGATTTCGTGGATCACTGTGACTTCGTGGATCCAGTCGGTGAGTTTGATCCAAACAAACTGTTTCCTGTTTTCTTCATCGCCAGGTTTGTTTGTTTGTTTGTTTGTTTGTTGAGTGACACATCGTCAGTAAATCTGCAGACATTCATCACTAACAGCTCAAACAGCAGGACGTTAACACAGAATGCTGAACATGATAAATATTCTTCGTATGTTCTGACACATCGAAGCAGCTGTTGAGTGTTTCTGAGGCGTTTACGGATGTTTGGTTTCCTGCAGACGGAGTCGTCCTGATCGATCCGGTGCAGCTCAAAGGGAAGAAAGGTGAGTCTGATCAGAGTGTGATCTCCCTTCGGTTCCTCCTGGTTACCTGTCCTAACACCTGTTACCTGTCTCTAGTGTACGTGATGCTGTCGTGTACGTTTCGCTACGGCCGCCAGGACATGGACGTGATGGGCGTGGCCTTCAGGAGGGACCTGCTCGTGGTGACCCGGCAGGTTTATCCGGAGCTGCAGGACAAAGAGAAGCTGACCCACAACAAGATCCAGCAGAAGTTGCTGCGGAAGCTGGGAGACAACGCCTTCCCCTTCTTCTTTGAGGTGAGGAACCCGCCGACCGTCCAGCTGAAACCCAGAACCAGTCATATGAACGGCTAGTTTCAACCTAAAGGCAGCACGAAGTGTTCAAACCCTGGATGTTAGTGAACAAAAGTGAAGGAAAAACAGAATAATAACATCCTGAAGTGACCAAAACCTGGATAATCACATACAGAAGTTTAAAAAACCTCAATATTAACACATCAAAGTGTCACAAACCTCAATATTCACATACAGAAGTGGTCAAAACCTGGAAATGAATCCACAGCAGTATCAAACACTCGGATATTACTCCAACAAAGTTACAAAAAGTCTCAATATTACTGCATACGAGCGTCTAGAACTTAGAAATCGATAAACAAAAGTGTCAAAACCGTATCTTGAAGCAGTTTGGAAGATGAAACAGATGAAACTGTGGATAGAAATGACGCAACAGTTCGACTGATGATCAACTAAACAAGTTTGTGTTTCAGTTTCCAGACAACCTGCCGTGTTCTGTGGCTCTGCAGCCCGGACCGTCGGACGTCGGGAAGGTATGGACTCATTCATCCATCACTCTTGTATCGATAAACTCACGAAGACGCTGCGACATGTTGGTTTCACTGTTGGAGCTGAACTCAGATCTCTCAATAGTCTGATTTTGGATCCAGACAGAACCACTTAATAGCACATATAGTGGATTTGAATGAGACGTTCCGCCCTCTAGTCGTCGGTTCCTCACACCGTCTTCTAGTCGTGTTTCATGTGTTTGTTGTTTAATCGTGTTTCGGACAGAAATGCGCCGTGGAGTTCGAGGTGAAGGCGTTCTGCGGCGACAGCCAGGACGAGAAGGTCGACAAACAGTGAGTCAAGTCAGAATCTGTGGACGGAAGAAGCGTCCGGTTCCTCCACGTTCTCCATGTTCTCCTTCTTCTGTCTGCAGGAGTTCTGTTCGCCTCACCATCAGGAAGATCCAGTTCAGTCCGGAGAACAGCAAAGTGGTTCCAACAGCGGAGACCACCTTCGAGTTCCTGATGTCCGAGAAGCCTCTGCACGTCAAGCTGAGTCTCCCCAAAGAGGTGAGAGTTAGAACCGGGTCGGAACCGCAGCGTGTTCAGCTTTAACTCAGTTCTTGAACCCTCCGAACCCAAAACCTGAATAGTCACCGACATGGAACCATTTATCAGCCAGAAACTGTGAACACACGAAACAATCAGATCTTCTACTTTCTGAGGTTCTCGTCATGAGTCATGTGGTTCCATCAGAACAAAACCCAAATAAAACCACATCTGTAGTCAGTTTGGACCATTTTTAGGTTGGTTTGGACCCATTTTGATGCATTTTAATCCATGTTTAACAATATTTAGGTCATTTTTGACGTATTTTGGACTGAGTCTAGTTACTTTGAACCATTTTTGCGTCACTGTGAACAACGTCTTGGTCCTTTAAACACAGTTTTTGGACGGGTTTAAAGTTATTTAGGACATTTTTTTGATTGTTGTAGACATGTTTGGTCATTTTAACCAGTTTTTGTTCAGTCCAATGACAGCGTCTGTCTGTCTGCAGACGTTCTATCACGGCGAGCCGCTCAAAGCCAACGTTGAAATCACCAACTCGTCCAGCAGGAACATCAAAGACATCAGCGTGTCAGGTGACGTCCGGCAGCAGCTTCCTGCAGCTTCAACATCTGTTCTCTGAGCAGCTGGAGGTTTTTACGGCTTCATTCTGTCGCCACGACGCTGTTCTGACTGTTGGTTGTTTGTGTGTTCAGTCGAGCAGGTGACCAACGTTGTTCTTTACTCCAACGACAAATACGTCAAATCTGTGGCCAAAGAAGAGACCAGGTCAGTTCGACTGCTCGCATGAATCATAAAAAATGTACAATTTCTTGTCATTTAGAGTAAATTTACGCAGGTTTCAAGCTATTTTGGACCATTTTCGGAGACATTTTGGCCAATTTTTGAGTGAAAGTTGACGTATTTGAGTCATTA